CCAAAAAAAAAAAAAAAAAAAAAAAAAAGAAAGAAATCTTGCTATTTGTGACACCACAGATGGACCTAGAGGGTATTATGCCAAGTAAAATAAGTCAGAGAAAGACAAATACTGCATCATTTCACTTATCTGTGGAAAGAAAAAAAACTAAACAAATGAACAAACAAATAGACCTATAGATACAGAGAACAAACTGACAGGTGCCAGAGGGTTGGGCAGTGGGTGATGCGCAAAAGTGTGCAGGGGATTAAGAAGTTCTAACTTATAGTTATAACGTAAGTCAGTCACGGGAACAATAACTTTGTACCGTGACAGATGGTTGCTAGACTTCTTGCTGTGATCACTTTATAAGGAATATATATGTCAAATCACTATGTTGTACACCTGAAACTAATATAATATTTTATGTCAATAATACTTTAATTAAAAAGAGTCCATCAGTAGATGAATGGATAAAAAAGCTGTGGTACACTTACACCATGGAATACTACACAGCTGTAAAAAAGAAGGATTTCTTACACTTTGGGACAACATGGATGGAACTGGAGAGTATTATGCTAAGTGAAATAAGCCAGTCAGAGAAAGACAAGTACCACATGATCTCACTCATATGTGGAATATAATGAACAAAATAAAATGATGAACAAAATAGATCCGGAGACATAGAAGCATGGAACAGACTGAGGGATCTCAGAGGGAAGGCGGGATGAGGGAGTGGGTGGGGAGAGACTACTGAAAGAACTTATATGCTTATATGCTTAACCTATGGACTCAGACATTGGTATGGGGAAGGCCTGGTAGTGGGGTAGAGGGAGGGAGGAGGGGATCAATGGAGGGGAAAAGGGGACATCTGCAATACTTTCAACAATAAATATAAATTATATATGTATATGTGTATATATATATATATATATATCAATAAAAAAAGAGCTTTATATTCCAGAATGAGTAAAGAAGAACATCTCTGAAGTTTTCTTATAGAAGAATGGCATTCTCCACTGACATAAGAAAGCTTAAGGATTTTTTTTCAACACTGTGAAAGATTTTAAATATACTTCATCACTCAGACACAGAGAAAGTCAACAAGTAGAAAAGTGAACACAGAACTTAAGATAGGTTTTAAAATACAGGTTTAAAATACAAATAGAAATCACTTACACAAATAAGTCAATATTCAAATAATAGAAATGATTATATCAAACATACTTACCTTTGAAAGGATTGATTCCTGCCCTTATTCTTGAAATAATAGCTTCTTTTACTTCTTTTTTCTTTACACATCGAATACCCAAATTTTGAAAACTAGAAGGAAAACACAGAACTTTCAACTGCATTATAGTAAAACACACAAATACTAAAAAATACTGCAAGTATATCAAGCATATATCCAACAGTGGAGAGTCATCACACTGTCAGGTGGAGATAGTAAAGCATGTTATAAATTTCCAATTGCTATGATAAAGATGTGAGCCTAAAAAAAGTGGGGTTATATTTCTAAGAGAACTGTTAAAAGAAAAATAATACATACCATATGGGTTTTGCATACAGTATTTTACAATTACACCTTACTAATATGCCTATGTCAAATATACCAAAGGAGATAAAGATTAAGAGGAAAGTGATACCACAAAGCTAAAATTCACGTCCTAAACAAATTTGTTTTCAAAATCAATTAAATTTGTATATTTGATCATTAAAGCAAAAGTTGTAAAACGACGCCCATGGGCATATTTTGCTGAGCCCATAAAAAGTGTTGTCTACATTTAAGAAAAAATTCATAGACTACCAACATTTAACAATCAGGTAACCGCATATAAATGCCTGGATTTCTGGCTTTGTGACCATTTTAAAGATCTGGTGACAGTAGGTTGGTACAGAAACATCTAGCTGGAGCTGATGCAGGGCTCTCCAGTGTGCTGTGGTGCCTGCTAGTCCTCTCAAACCTGACTCGCTCCACTCCACGGACACTTGTTATCTGAGCCCTGACTACACTGCTAGTAGCAGTGGAATATATTTTATGCCATATTATATGAAGTTACAATAATCATTCATCATAAGAAAGGACTGAAATGCATTTTTTTAATTAGAAAGAGGATGGATACTAACAATAATATTTAACAAAAGTTTCAAAATGTCATTTATGGAAAACTTCTCAATAGCTACAAATATTACTGATTTGCATGTGTACTACAGATGATGGTTAGGGGAACTCCCCTACCACTGCCAGTCATATTTGTTCCCACATGGAAAAACCATGACATCACTAAAGTTGGGTGGGTGTGAATAAGGAAGCAAAACTGATAATGACATTACCACTTGCTTGAATTGCACATGGCACTCTGCACCGGGAGGACGCCTGCCTCGCGTGCCCGCTCCACGCTTACGCTGCTCATGCTCCTCACATTCCCCACACTTGTGATGTAGTTACCACCTGACATATCCTTGACATTTCCTTCCTCTGCCTCCAATAATTTAAAAACAAGTCTTGAATTCATAATCCTTTCTTGAAAGCCCTAAACCACAGTCTTCTGCCTCAAAAGTATTGCACTTCTTTGAAAGATTCTTAGCTTGGTTCTTTTTCTTTGACAAAGGATTTTAAAGAATCCTCCATTTTAATATATTCCTACACTACTTGGTTTAGTTTCATCTGAATGATCATATTCACTATTCAGAGAATATCAGAAGTAGTAGAGATTCCTGAAATTCTGACATGAGGAAACCAAGGATCACAGAGATTACTTGAACCATTCATTCATTCATTCATTCATGGTCATTCAACAAGTTTTGAGGATCCTACCATGTACCAACAACCCCAGAAAGGAATGGGAATATATAATCCTTCCCCTCATGGAGCTCACAGTCTAGTTCAGGGGATGGCCAACTACAGTCCATGGACCAAATCTGGCCCACCACCTGACTCTTAAGTAAAATTTTACTGGAACACAGCTCAACAGATTTGTTTATGTATTATCTACAGGTGCTTTCACGCTGCACCAGCAGAACTGAGAAGTTGCAACAAGGACAATATGGCCTTCAAAGCCTAAAATATTGACTATCTGGCCCTTTACAGAAGGAATTTGCTAACCTTTAGACTAGTGAAGCAGATAGACATTAAGTACCCGCACACACAAAAAATGCTAACTAAAACCATGACAATTTTTATAAAGGAGATGTACACAATGCCATGAGAGAGAGCCCTATGATAGGAAAGAATTGGCCAATTCAGGGAGGGGAAACAGGCCTCTTGTAGGAAGTGATATTTGTTATGAACAGAAAAGGAGAATCAAGAGACTTCAGGCAGTAGGAAAAGAACATGCAAAGGACCCTACAGAAGAGCACTGTGAGCCCAGGAAACTAAAGGAAGGCCTTTGTGACTCGAGTACGGAATTTAAGGAGAACACAGTTTAATCGAAGGCTAGAAATACAAGTGGGTGCCCTGGGCTTTCCAAGGAATGTTGTCCTAATTCCAAGAGTGAAATAAAGCCATTAACATGTTTTAAGCAGAGATGTGACAATCAGATTTGTATTTGACAAGATCTTGCTGAATAAATTAAATTTTTTTTTAATTTTTATTTTTAAAAAATATATCTTTATTGACTTCAGAGAGAGGAAAGGAGAGGGAGAAAGAGAGATAGAAACATCAATGATGAGAGAGTCATTGATCGAGCCCACAACCCGGGCATGTGCCCTGACCGGGAATCGAACCCCGATTGCCTGGATCCTAGGTCGACACTCAACTGCTGAGCCACGCCCGGCCGGGCTTAAATTTTTTAAAAGATCCCTTTGGCTAAGTGGAGGGCACAAAAAGAGTTATAGGAGAAGAGCTGTCAGAAGGCTGTCCTTCTGGGGCCACATTTCAATTACAGCAGTAGCAGTGTGGTAGTGACAGAGGTCACTGAGACAAATGGAGAGATTCAAGAACTATTTAGGAGGTACCTGTGAGTGAATTCAACACATGCACCTGTGCGAGAGGTGTCAAGGATGACACCTATGTTTTGGGCTTTTATAGCAACCACTAAGATAACGTACATTAGAAGACCAATTTTAAGAGGAAAGAAGTATGATTACGTAAGATCGTGGTTTGGGGCATATTCTACTTGAGGTTCTTTCAAGATATTTAAGAGGATATGTCAAAAAGGCAATCGGACTAAGTACATTCCCCACTAAAAAACCAGGGCTCCTCCGAAAAGAGTGTTGATTTCAGGGCACGATCGAGAAAAAGACAAGGGTCTTGAACAGTTTGTTGTGTCAGGAAGTAAAGAAGTGTTCAAAGAAAGATGAGGCCATGTCAAAAGGACACAGAAAACATTTGAAGAGGCTTGCATTAGTCAAAGTTGGGTCAACTTGAAAATCAAAATAATGATGTCAATATACTGAATATAAAAATCCATGGGTCTATAGTGGCATTTTTTATATGGGGAAGGGTAAAAAGGAAAAGGTTTTCTTTACAGTAGAATGCCAATTAACTATCACAAATGGAAAAAACTAATGTTACATCTTCTGAAGAGATGTTTTGAGAATATAGCACTGCCTCTGTAGATACCTTGTCTAAAATGCTTCATGCTAACATGAAAATATTATTCATGCTATTCATGGTAACATGGATATAATCATGAGCAACCATTCAGACTAATCCACATTGAAAAACAATCTTCAAAACAAACAGCCTAGACTCTTCAAAAATGTTTACGTCATGAAAGACGAAGAAAGGCCAGGAAACTGATGTAAATTAAAGGAGGCTACATAAGCATGACAACTAAATAGAATGTGTGATCCTTAATGGGATCCTGGATTGCGGGAAGAGGCAGGACAGCTGTAAAGGGCACTACTGGGACATTATTGGATATAATTAAGGTAGCCCCCAAATTTAACTGCCTATAAGATTGAGAAGGAACAGCTAGAAAAGCAGGAAAACAGGAGAGCTTGTTTTCACAGAAATCAAGGGAATCAGAATGTTTAGGAAGGAGGAATCTATACTGTAAAATGCTGTTGGGAGGTCAAAAATTAAAATAGGAAATATTTCTTGCCAAGTTTATATTATTAGATATTTTATTTTTTTGTGCTCTTATTTTAAGAAAAATATTTTAAAGTATATTTTCTAAATGTTTACTACTAATATATAAAGAGGCTACTATTTTTTTTCCTGTTGTAATCAGTTTCATTTTTCCACAAACTCAATACATGTTCATTATAAAAAAAGAATTACACCCACAATTCTACCCATCCAGAGACAACTACTATTAATACCTTAGTGTATATACTACCATGGGTATGTACACATTTATTTTAAACAAAAAGGTTATTTATCATATATTGTTTTAAACTTATTTTATTTACCTAGCATTCTGTGAATATCTTTCTATACAAAGATGTATTTATAATGTTATTTTTAAAACTTCAAAGGAGTACATTGCATGGGTGTACCAGTTTATTTAACTAACCCCTTTTGTATATTATTTGGATTGTCTCTAACATTTTGCCATTACAAACAGAACTGCAATGAACATCACCAGAGCTAAGTGTCGGAACATGCTTAATTAATTGTTTCCTGGGGATCAATTTCTAAAAGTAGAATTGCTAGTTCAAGAGACAGTCATAAATTCAGACTTTTGCTATGTAGCTGTTAAACTGCCTACCAGAAAGGTTTTATTAATATACTCTCTCACCAACATAATGAATCTTCTGGCAGCCTCACCAACACAGCGATACATAATTTTCAATCTTAGAACTACTGTTGTATGTTAATTTTATAACCTGCCCTTTTCTAAATAATAATTTCAGTTTCCCAGTTGATTTTCTCACATCTGGCAATCTTTAAATTAACTATTAATGAAAAGATAAGAGTAAAAATGTATGAGGAAAAACTTTTCATAACTTGTTCAAACTAAGAAAAAAAATCACAGCATAAACGAATCCGTGTTTACTTCAGGTAACAATAAAGAAGTGTTCTTTCTACCATCATGAGTTACATCTACTAATACAGAACAAAAGGTACTTCTCCTGCAAATGGTAAGAAAATTTAAATGTATACTGAAGTAAATAGGAGTAGAATGAGGAATTAGTTTATTCTGCTAAACAGTATCAGAGATACACGGAGGGGGCGCAGAGTATCCTGTGCTTACAGATTTCCTAGCTGAGGCTGTGTACTTACAATAAAGGCCTGCGCTCCTGTCCGAATTCCGCTTCATAGTAGCCGTCTCTGCAGTCTTTTCCCACTAAATCATGAGGGTGAGGTTTAAAGGGGTCATTCTTTGTTACCAATGTAATCCTCACTTTTCCCTTTCCATAATAGTTCATAATCTGGAAAGGGGGGGAAATAAAACAGATGATCCATAAACATTTCTCACTAAGAACTGACCTACTAAATGAGAGTTCAATTTCTATAATGTAGTTAGCACTGGATAAATCAAGTCCAGCTGGCTGGCCGTCTGGATGAAACTTCCCAGATAACACCAGTAGGAAGAAGTTACCTCTCAGTTCCTTGGCATATTAATTTCAATTGATCGTATCATTGGATTCTGCCTATTTGCCTTTTAAAAAACAAGTAAAGTTAAACCAAAATATTATCACACAGCATGACAAAATACTTAATTGTTAAGTCACTGAAGGCCATGCTCTTAGATTCACTGTCCTACTATCAACGTCCCTTCAGCCAAACTGGATATGACAGTACACCAACACATAGGACTATTCTACTTAATATGTGACATTTGTTCATCAGTAAGAACATCCCAAGTGTTCACTGTTCAGTAGGCAATGAATCAAGTTGAGTTTCACAAAACTGTTTTCACACAATAAATGCATGTAGAACACTAAGAATAAAGAGAAGAGTTAAGCGTGGAAAGGGGACACTCTGAGCACGGGAAGGAGCAAATGTTCAGTTTGGAAGCTAGCAAATTTGCAAACACAAAGCAGGGAATGTAAAAACCAGCTTACAACAAGGAAGCAAGGTAGTTAAGTAACAATGGGTAGCTTTTCAGGTAAGAGAACACTAAAATCCATAATTCTGAATTTACACTTAATCTGAAAAAGCAACCAGGAAGTATTGATTGCCTTTCTGAATAAAAGAGAGAGTAGCCACTTAAAACCGTAATATAGGCTAATGTGGAACTCAATATGTAAAGTGTTTAGGACCTACCGGAATGGTAAGGATACAGATCTTAGAAATATTTTAGAGAACGTACAGAGTTAAGTTGAATTATGCAGAAAAGTTAATAACTGCTCTTAAAAGATTAAAAGAACAGTGTTTTCTTATTTACCTTTTAGTAGCATTTCTCTCATTTTAACATTTAAATAAAAGGACTTAGATAACTCAAATTCATATTGCTGCCAAAAAATGTGACAAAAATTAGGAACTGGGAATTCAATAATTTTGCCACTGCCTTATTCTACAATTTAGCATTCCCTTTAAGTTCAACTGAATAAACTTTGTAAATAACCTCATTATAAAACAGCGAATTAAGATCTGTTGGTGAAAGACTAAACAACTTTTAAAAATCCACTCTGCCATTCAAGTTTTTAATTGGCATTTAAAGGATAAAAATTCATTAAAAAGTCAAAGTAAATATAGTATATTTTACAAATATAGTATATTACCCAAGTCATTTTGGATGAAAAACTACTTTCAAAACTTACGCTAACATCAAAAAACGATTTAAAAAGTGGCTATATTTCAAATCAGTCAGTGAAATCCAGAGTATCAGGGAAAGGCAATAAAGGCAAGGAAAAATGAGGCAAAACGTTCATTCTCCTTTCCCATAGTCCCTAGTTTAGCCAAATGACTGTAGAAAGAAGAATTCTAATTGAGTTCCCAAGTCCACGATTTCAATCTACGGAATAATTTTGCTCACTGCTGGAAGGAGAGAATGCTTTTTCCTCATTAGCTGTGTCCCATGAAAGGAATCATCACCCAAAAGCTGCCAAAGTACACTAAGCGCCGTGAATCACTCTACTTAAATTAACACACAAACACTGAATAACTATCCTCAGGGACGAAGAATCCACACCATATTTAAGGAATGACCCCAGACAGCTATCTAGTACCAATCAATTAAAACGGAAAGGAAAAAAAGCAGAAGAAAGGAAAGCCCATGGAAAAGATTGTAAAGAAACTGAGCCTTTAATGTAATTGCTGTAGCTAAAATATGAAGCAACTAAGAGTAAGACACATACAGGAGAAAGGTCTGTTACCTGGATGGAAGGGTACGTTCGGTTGTTGTCTGTGCTGTGCTCCCCTGGAATGCTGCCTGCTGAGCGCCCTTCACATTTGTATCTGAAACGCATTCCCCTCTGCCGGGGTTGTTCAATTATCTCTATATATGGGTTATACCCACCTGAAATTTAAAAGATGGGGGGGAGGGTGAGATTAGGATAGCAATAATAATGTATATTAACCACTTGATATTTTTTTTAAACAGCAGACTAAAATATTTTCCCTCCCAAATTCAATTACAAGGTTAAAATGTAATTAAGATTGGGTGGTAAAGACACCTTCTCCCATTCAAACTGAGCTCCTATATAGTGTTAGCACAAGTCACATTAGTGTCACTCAAATTACATTTGTTGGTTAGCAGTTTACTGCTTAATATCTGTAGTTAATGCCAATGTGAAGTTCTGAGATAGCCACTTCAGGGATATCTACTTCCCACATGAGACCAAGCAGAAGGGTTTCTCCCAAGAGTCCCCCGGAAGAGTCAAGAAGAAAGTCTTCAGAAGTACAATGTTATACTCCAAAGTGAGTTTAACTGTTCTGCTTGACTTTACATCAGACTCTTAGTAGTGGAATAAAAGACTACTCATTGAAAATGAAAATGCATTTAAATCCTTGAAGAAGGATATGTAAATTTTTCATATCTCCATTGGAATGTCAATGCACTTATACACAGTATATCAAAACACGTTCCAGAAGGGACTTTAGGCTCAACATAATTTTCTGTCTCATCTAAATCTTTTTCTAAAGTATAATATACAAGGAAGAAAAAGAAAATAGTTACTTTCTGTAACAAATACAATTCAAAATATGCAACTTTAGAACGAACTACTGATAAACACAACAGAGGTGAATCTTAAAATAATTATGCTGAGTGAAAGAAGCCAGACCAAAAGAGCATATACTGTATGATTCCATACATATAAAACTCTAGAATATGTAAACTAAGATATAATGTAAGAAAGCAGATCAGGGGTTGGAGTGGATGGGGAAACAGGGGCATGAGGGGCATATTAATTATCTTGAGTGTAATAATGATTTCAAGGTTGTATACATGTCAAAACTTACCAAAATGCATACTTTAAACATGTGCAATTTATTAGATGACAATAAAGCTGTCTAAAACATATATACCTTTACCCCCTCCTATCCAAGTTCAATAAAGACACTCAAGTGTGCTTACAAATAGAGTACGTAGCAATGTGTCTGTATTTCAGATACATGAAGAAAACTTTCATTGGTGAAAAACCTCCCTCAATCAGTTTAGTGATTTCTAAGTTGCCTCAATTAGATATCCATTTTTTGTGTGCTCACTTCAGCACCTATATACTAAAATTAGCTATCCCTATTTTTTACTGTAGGCTTATCCTGTGTTAGAATGCAAACAAATCTTCAGAAAGGGTAATACAGTGGGTCTGATCAGTGCATACAGGGAAGAGGCCTTTGAATCCTACCCAGCCAAATCTTAACAATGAAAGCCTTGGAAATGTTATTAAACCTCTTAAATCTCCCACTCTATAAAATGGAGATAATAATAACAGTACTACCTCATTGGGTTGTTGTGAGGATTAGAAATATGTGTTAAATTCTTACCAAGTGTCTCGCATATATAATAACAATGTTGATTATTTCAGATGCTTTCCTGAAAATGATTTATAGTGATACCATGATGCTATCACAACTGCTCAAAGATTTTACAGAAGAGTGAGGTAAACAACACAAATTATTAGATTACAGAAAGGACAAACAAAATAAAATTTTGTTTATGCTAACAAAATTCTGCATAAAATGATAATGAAAGCAAAAAAGTCGGGAATGCCTAACTATATATCAAAGGAAAAAAGGAGTTAATGCAGCAAAAGGGTGGAAAGGAAGGAGGGAGGAGAGGAGCAGGTAGGCGATCTAGGGAAAGGGAACAATGTGTTCAAAGGTGTACCAGTAGAGAAGATACAGCCCCAGTGGAAGAGAAGAGTTTAAGAATCACCAATATAGCCCCAGGGGACAGGTGGGAGAGGGGTGTGCATTTTCTACCCTTAGAAAGAGAACCAAAAGCCAGCTACATTTGGGAATTTGGATTTCATTCTATGAGTGTCAGTGAATGGTCTTAACACAGCGGAATCACATGATCAGATTGGAATTTTAGAGTAAAACTTCTGGTGGCAAAGTAACACACAAAAAAGAGAAAGCAAGGTGATCAGCTTTAGAGGCTGTTACAATAATATGAGCAGCGATGAGGGTGTGTCTGAAATATGGTAGTAATAAAAGGAATGAAGGATTATTTAAAAGATAAAATTGACAGTACTTAGTGACAGACTGAACATTAGGGTTAAGAAAAAGAATCACTGATGGCTCCATTGTTTCTACTTTGGGTTACTGAGTAAAGTACAGTACCACTGTTACCTTTAATTTTATTCTGTTTGGTTCAGGAATTTCATTGGAACAGAGTTCATTTTGGGGTTGTATATCAGAATCACCTAGGTAGCTTTTCAAAACAAACATGCCCTGACCCCACCTGAGATCTGCTGAATAGAAACAGATTCATCTAAAAGCCCAGACATGTTTCTGAAAAAGCCTTCCAAGCAATTCTAACACATTCCTGATTGAGAACCATTGCTCTAAAACATAAAGAAGTGGAAACAGTGATGCACGTATCTAGAGAAGTAATCCAAAAATTCACATACAAGTACGGGCTGGGTGATAGATAAACTAGGCAGAAGAATTCTGACTACTTAAACTCTTTCTTTTCCTCCCACTCTAAAAAGTTTATCCAAATGACGGGAGGGGCGGCACTACTATAAAGCTAGCCTTTAATCACTATGATTTATTTTAAAAGTAAATCATTTGCAAAATTAGTATTTAACTATCATCAAAAACATTTCTTAAAATACAGCACACAAATGATTATAATGTGCCAATGTGTCAACACTACAGTTGAGAATAACTGACTACAGGCTGCATCTCCCTCACAGAAGTACTAGATAACAGACACCCAAAGGAGCAAATGGAGCTAACAATATATACTTTTCCAAATATCACCTCTACTCACTTTGGAGAAAAAGAAAATAACATCTATGCTTCTTTCCTTCAACCTAGCCACCCAACTGATTCATGGTGATGATCTTCTTGACCTTAAGACACAGGTGAGTTTTTCTGTTTCTTCCTTGTTATGATCAAAATTTAGAGTTACCATTTTTTACATAGCTAGAATTGCATGCAATTAACAAAGGGACAAAGAAAACTTAAGCCGATTCCCATAAAGAAGGAAAGACTAACATGGAAGGCGTAAAAGAAATAAAATAGAAGATAAGTTATATTAATCAAGTTGGCAAAAGGACACATGGTTTATCTACTAAGCAATTTTGTATTTACCCCCTCACCCCCAGTGCTTACTATCATTTAAGTGGACAAAGGAGGGGAAAAAAATACACTGAGTCCAAGCATCACTGTCAAATTCTACTCCCCTAGTTTAAGTGTACACAAAATCATTTCAAATTTTTAATAAGTAAATGGGCATTCTTTTCTTATATATTCTTGAAAGATATGTATAAAACTAACACCTAACAAGACTCTGTAGGAGTTATTCCCATTTTTATCTCACAGAGTGGTAGAAGTGGAACAAAAAATGATTCAGGTTCACCACAGACTAAAGTCCAGGTTTATTCCAATATATCAGGCTGATTGTCAATCAGGTCTTAAAAATCCAAGTAAGGGGAATTTTCAGATGAGTATTTGACTGATGTACACATCATAAGGTAAATAAAAGATGTAAAAAATGTTGGCAATAGAGATTCTGCTGCTAGAGATTCCAGTGCCGTGAGGGTAAAAAAATAAGTGTTGAAAAAAAATTTAACTTCCAGGGTGAAAAAATAGAGAAATATTTAAAATCTGTCCTAGATTTTTCATGTATTTAACTGAATTAAAAGCAGATGACAGGCCCAAATCATCTGTCTTGATTAAGATTGCCAGATTTAAAAATAAAAATTACAGGATGCTCATTTAAATATGAATTAAACAAATAATTTTTTTAGTATAAGTATATTGCATGCAATGTTAATGATCATTATTCACAAATGGAAAAATATTGTCCTAATTTATAGGTTTTATGGTGGGGTATGTGGAACTAGGTGGGTAGAAAAAGTACTAGAACATTCACTTTTGTTAACAGTATTTCTGTTATATTCTGTTGACTAGTGAATGATATACATAATGGTAAGACAAAAGTAAATTGTTTAAAATATATAATGCAAAATGTCCCTGTATTTTCCCATTTAACATTTTTCTCTATATCGTGTCTAGATTTCTGACATCCAAACTGGGACCCTTGGAAAAGAGTTCTTTTAATACATAAAAAAATCCTTGTGATTTACAATCTGCATATTATTTCTTTTGTTGTACTTTATGTCTGTGTACAATAATTTCCTTTAGTATAAAAAAAAAGTACGTACCATTCAATGACTTAGGTCATGTGCCTACAACCCCAGTCATTTGCAGAGAACAGATGAGAGAAAGATGGAACAAAAGGAATGCAGAGTCCCTTAAATCATATTTGAGATACTACAATACACACCCCCAACACATTCCACAAAATGATTCATGATCTGATTCACTAGTCATTTCATTCACTCATTCTCTTTACTCTAGGTCTGCCATATATCACCTTCATTCCTTTATACCACTGTTACCTCTACATTTTCATGTGTTGCATTTCTGAAACAGCCTTCATAGTGCACGTAGTCTTTTATTGTAAAAAAGAAGTCATTTGCTTTAGCTATCAATTCCAGCTTGCAGCTCCACCATTAAAATTTTAAGCTGTACCACATTTACATTCCCCCCCCTTACTCAAGAGAAATAGTTCTCTTGAAATTCACATTATAGACAGAGTTGGGAAGTAGTGTGTAGTTTACAAAAACAATTTCTTTGTGTACTTCCTATGTGACACAGCAGAACTATATTATAGAAAACTGGTAATAAAAATAAATTACCTAAATTTTAAAACGTGTTTTACCAAAGACAGCACTATTTATTAGTAAACAGGGCTGCTATATGCACACAAGAACATTTTACATTTTTTACTGGAACAATGAGAAGCTTTAAATTCAGACCTAAAATAGTGAATTTTATTTAAACATACAAGAGTAATCACGGCCTAATACGTATGGGAACATTTTTCTTCACAATGCCTATTCTAATTAATCATATCAAAAGACTAGAATTAAGGTGTAATTTAAAAAGACAATTTAATAGAACACAAGCTGTGAAATTCTAAATAATCTGATAATTTACCTGAACAAAATTTAGAAATATATATATAAAAGCCCCAGTTACTCATGGTACTTATATAATTTGCTTATGAGATTATGATGTTACTTTTTACGTTATACAGACCACATATTCAACTACACATACCTATTTACATATGACATCCTGGAGAAGTGAAGAAATGGCCTTAAGGGCTTGGTAATCAATAAAAACACTTTTGGAGGTTTTAATACTATCTTACAACAAACAGAATCTAAACTAGACAATGATAAACTAATTTAGCACACTTTTTTTTCTGAGTCAGTTAAACTACTGTTTCAAAACAGGATGGGAATTTATAATTTAGTGGCTCTTCTTCTCTAAGTTCTTTACAACTGCTTAAGGAAAGTACACCCAGACTCCCTTTAAAAATTTGCTTGGCAATTTTCAAACAACTGAATTACAATTTAAATTACTTGTGATCATTACTCTACAACTTTCCATTCCTTAAAAAAATTTTCCCCTTCAAATTAGGCAATCAGCCCTCATAACAGCACAAAATATAATGTCTTAAACAAGTTTAAACTGTATCACATTGTAAAATGATGTGGGTTTTCCAATACTCTATAAAAATGGCTAATTGTTTTCTCTCTTTTTTGGGAGAATTAAAAGTATTATATTCATGCTTTATATTAACAAAGTTTGGCCCAACTGCCAGCAGGCTTTTTTTTTTTTTTTTAACGTATAAAGCTCACTCTTCTTTATTACTTTCATACAAGATCTCATAACCAATAAATTAACCTAATATTTCAAGTCATCTTTGCACTTTTGTTCTAAACGCGCCTTGAATTTATGAATTTACAAGATCACCTAAAAGTCTGAGGGTCAATGAAGTGGGTAAGGAGTTAAATATTTTAAACTCCACTCGCATTCTCACATGAAAACCACACACAGGCTGAAATCAAATGTCATGTGAACCGCTCCAGTTTCCTTCTCAAGCCGCCGGCGGCAGCTCCGGCGCGGTTCTGCTCGGGCCCTTTAAAGGCTCCTCGGAGCCTCCGACTTCCTCTTCCCGGCCAGACGGCAGCCTGCGGCCGGGGGTCGCGCTGCGGGGCCGGGAG